CGCCGCTTGTCATCACTCGGGAGAACGCCGCAACAGCAGCGGCGACGTGTCAGCCGTGTCAGAAAAGATTACAGTTTCCACGTGCGTCCCCTTCCATCCATCCAGTGATGTTCCTCCTATGATAACCACAGCTCTCGCTGATGCTGGACATTTTGTTTTGGACTGCTTGCCTGTTTAATAGTGTAGCTGCTAAATTCTCTTTTTTTTTTTTTCTTTTGTAATTCGCTCTTCCGGGCTCCATCTAGGTCACTCGTGGTGATGGGAGAAGTCCCGTCGACCTCATTTCCTTCCCAAAACAACCTAACACAAGGCTCTGGGGTGATGCAAATCTCACCACTTGAACCTAATACGGCTTTTAGCAAGGGTATAAGAAAGTTTTGACGTGGGCCTTCACATTAACTACAGCTGTGCACGGTGTACCCTGCCTACCACTCAAAGACAGCTGGGATCGGCTCCGGCACGAGTGCGGAGAAGCGATTCGCCAAGTGGATGGCTCCTTTAACCTCATTTGCAAATTCATCTTCCAACATGACACAAAGACTCTCTGTAACCGGCACTGACGACCCGACTAAACTTATATTTGCTTTGCCACTTTCATGTGGGCGAGGTTTGACTATGATTAGGTTCTGCTCAGCTTTGTTCATACAAGTGATTGGATGATACAGTGTGGCCGCCTCCAGCCACGCATGTTAACATGTCAACACTTTCAAGCGAGAATTTCGCAAGGCGGCTCTTGTGGCAGTTTAGCGAGACTTTGTAGAAAAATGGACATTTCTCGAATGACTTTCCAAAATTAACTTAGCAATCATCCGGACGGCTTTTCCGCCATGCGTGCACAAACGTGTATAGGATAGACTCACAATGGGCCTCTCGTGGCTGAAGACGGAGGGCGGCCATCTTACGTTGCCACTGCTACTGCCAGCTTCTGAAAACGAAAGACAAACGTCACCCTTTTGTTGCGTTGACCGTTAAGCGTATATTTTCTCAGGATCATGAATGCTACTTACGGAGGTTGTTTTTACATTCCGCAATGAATTTTGTCCTGTCCGTCTTTGCTTTCGTTTCATTGTTCATGATTGTGACAACGTGATGCAGACGAATCTTTTGAGTAGCACTCAGATATACCTGAGAAGAGAAAATGTATCATCATGCCTTTGTCACATCTCGGCCGGGTTACTGTCATGCTCGTGACTTTGGAGTTAGCCAGTCCTCCATGGAGCGTCTCCAGGTGGTCCAAAATGCTGCTGCTCGCCTCTTGACTGGTACTCGTAAGAGGGAGCGCGTCACTCCTACTCTGGCATCCCCTCTACATTTTAGACTTCTTTTGAAGATGCTATTATTTGTTTTCAAATCTTTGAATGGACTGGCGCCAGCTTACCTCTCGGAGCTCCTCCGCCCCTACTTAACTGCATCTCACTCCACTTCTCACACTCCGCAAAATTCTATACATTAACAAATTCTGAACAATTTAAATATGAATTGAAGTGTTTATGATTGCATATGACATTCTCTTGCGATCGCTACAAGCGCGTCTCTTTCCAGCAACGATCAACACAATGAAAGTTGTACATGTTGACATGCATTATTCATGTCCGCCCCCCCCGGCCATTTCACAAGCATCACACTCAAATGTGTTTGTGGATTACATGCAGGGTAAAGTGTGTGTGGCGTGGGGGTGTCTATAGCGCCTATCGCTCATGCAAAGAGGCTCTTTAGCAGACACAAGGGAAGAGCTTTAGTTTCTAAGCTCTCATTGGCCATGCTGCTCATCCCCGGGGAGGCCAAGTCGCTTCACGAGTGGTCAATATGTCAGACAGCGCCGTAATCCGGCATGATGAATCCATGCGGCCCAGCCAATTAATACCACTCGGGTCGTTAAGAGCGTTAGCGATCGATGGCTTTCATTTCAGAGGTGAGGGTGGCTCGTAAAGATCGGTGCCGCTGACCAGTCGCATCTTCCCGCACGTCGGACGCCAACTCGCGGGTTTCGTAAAATCACCGTATAGCATACCACGGTGAGCCGAAGCCCTTGTTTTACATAAAGAGAGCAGTCAAGACGCTTCGACCGCCGCCCAGCAAGCCCAAGACGTCTGCTGATGTTTGAAAAGACCTTTCTGAAAGGATCCTGCAATGAGTGAAAATGAAGATGAAGTGCTCAGTCAATCCCGAAATTGATTTAGAACAGACCACTTGTCCAGCGCTCACACACACGCACACGCACACACACGCACACGCACACACACACACACACACACACACACACGATGAAAGTACCATTTCATTTGGTTGGCTGAGTGGGATTTTACTGTGTATGTTAGTCAGTGGTAGTTTTGTGCAAGGTAAGCAGAGCTGCATTTTTTTTTTTTTTAATTTATAGCTTTGCTTCTGATAAGTGGCAATTACACCCGATGACCCCATTCAAAGACGGATCAATACAGCTCGCCCGCAATACGCTCAAGTCCAAACATTTTCAAATGGGACACACCAGGGTTTGTACCCCAGCCAGATCGATCCCTGGCCCATTAGGGAGGGTTTTTTTTTTTTCTTCTATCAGTAGACAAGCTCGAGCAAGGCTACCTAATGCATCGTGAGGCACTTAAGGAGATGAAGTCAAGTGAGGCCCACCAAAGACGTGTCAAGGATACATTCCAAAATGTCATGTGAAATAACATGGCTGACTGGAAGTGACCTCATCAGGGGTTTTAGTTTAACAGGACTTGAAGGTAAATGTATTAAAGAACTCAAGAGGATATCATACAGTGGAATCTGTAATGAGCCAACACATTACATTAAGTGATGCGCGTCCATTTGTCGGACGAATTTTTTGCACCTTGGTCTCCTGTGCTAGCGCTCACGGCTGACAACGAGGCGCTCTAAGGCAGCCATGCCAGCAGACTATACTTTTACAGCCATCACGCACCTTTTTCTGGAACCAGGGTTGCAAAAAAGCTCATATTAAACACACATCCAGATTTAATCCATATGCGTGTTGCCCACATTTCCACAATTTGGAATGTTTCCATCACGTCGCAAACAAACGTTGCTGTCATGCTGGTGATGACTTTTCTGGCTATTGTAAATTAGAAAAAAAAAAGAACTGCCTTCACCTGCACAAGGTGCTGGCAGATATCTATTTTAGGCAGGAGATCACTTTGAATCCAGTTCACGGCTTCCCCGTCGCGCTCCGGCGACTTTAATGCGACATTTAACACGACGGCTCTGAAGTTTCATTCATCCCCTCGTTTGGTCCTGTGCCGCCAATTCTCCTCGTATCAGCAACAGTCCGATACGAGTGTGTGATTATTTTAAATCTGAGGTAAGAACAAGTCTGTGTGTGTGTGTGTGTGTGCGTGCGCATACATAAACACACTCTTTCAAACTGGCTTAATTCAGACTCTGTTGTTTTGTGAGCTGATGTGTTGGGCTCTTGCATGGGGCAATTGCCTAAATAATTCAGAGCGCTCACCTAAAAGTTGTGAGTCATCGGAGGCGACGGAACATTTCAGATTTTCAGTAACTAAATAATACATTTTGGGGGATGCATTATTCATACATTAATTTATCTCAGGTTTGTTCAACCACAGATTCGGACAGTCCAATTCTCTCATTCCCCATCTCACTCTATCAAAGTTTCTTTCTAGAAGTTGCCCCCCCCTGCCCCCGGTGTGCTAAAGACACGCAGACATAAATACCCTTCTACCTCTCCTCAACGCTGACCTTCTTTCTCGCCCCCCCCTCGCCCTTTTTGTTCTCCTCATCCGGTCACTCCTGTCTCACGTTTGACCGTTTCGAGCCTTCCTCAGCCTCTTGCTGCTGGGAAATGTCCTCCACCTTCCAGCAAATCCAGTCTACTCCCTTTGTCACATTTCTATACATCTCAAAAGCTCAGATGTACTGATTCGATGTCAGTCCTCAATGATACCGATGACCGTTACATCTGACGATGACAACGTTTCAATCAAATATCCATCAATCCATTTTCTAACCCGGAGTGCCCACAGAAAAGCCACGCAGGCACAGGGACTCTTATGAGTACCAGTCTCGGTTTCGGTATCGATTGTGGTGAGACACCTGGAAACATCGTAAGCACAGGTCACCCCAGCGCTTGGCTGAAAAGCCTAAATAGCCTCGCAGACAATAACAGCTTTCAGTCATTTTTCACGCCCAATGAGTGACATTTGCCATCTTTAATCCGAGATGCAAAACTGTATGCGGGCGGCTTGATGTTTACCTGGGGCGAGACTTTGGGACTGGAGGATAGGGGGATGTAACGACCTACCAGGCACATTCTTATGAAAGGTCACTTGCCACATAAATGGGCTCATTTTCCCCATTTCGTAAATACAGCCACAAACTCGGATTTTCATTTGGCTTTTCGGCGGCAACAGGAAGCAATTTGAGCAGATGATTCGCAGATAGCGGCGGCAGATGTACAAGCTTTTTCCACCCCTCATCACACCTTCAAAGCTTCACAGATTGCGCGTCTGGATCTCAGCAGGAGGCTGCGATTGCTGACCAGCCACCGTGATTACCACTGCAACATTTTCCGGAAATTGTCATACGGGCCCCAACTCTTTCTTTGCTCCATTAGTTTTGACTTGCGGTGCTGACGCCTGCTGTGTCTCGACTGACTGAAGCCAAGTCAAAGCAAGCGCATCTGGGACAGGTGGGCTTTTGTTTGCACAGACACGGCGTTGGAAGAACAAAAGAAGATGGCGAACGGTTGTTTTTCTTGCAAATGGAATGCACACAAAAGAAAAGCAGAGACAGGTTTGGAGGATGAATACGACCACAAAGTGACAAAAATTCAGCTCAGTGCAACAAACTTGCTCCCTGTTGTCTTGTGCTGCCCCCTAGCGTCGATGTGCCCGAATTGGGACCCAGAGAGGAAATCCAGGAGCGAGGCATTTCGCTATTGCTTGTACATTCACAATATGGCTTGTTTATATGAATCGAGTCAGTCAATGTACATGGCGCGAAAAGAAGTCCTCACACGAGCATTTCAAAACATTGGACATTTATTTCAGAAATGGCAAAACATTCATATATACAGAGCAGCTCGTGTTCACAGGAAGCCAACGCTCTCTCCCTCAGGAAAAATAGAAAACGAGGACTGTCAAATTCGCCGAAGCAGCTTTCATGACGACCAAAAAAAAAAAGTGAAACGTTCATTTCCACCCAGCAGCAACAAGTCACGCCGCATGTCCATGATGATGTTTGATGGACCACAAGTGACGATCCATATGTGGCTTTTTCTTCAGCTCTCGACCCAGTAAGTTTATTTAAAAAAAAAAAAAAAAATGCAGGCAACTTGGACAAAAAGATTAGAGATTGAAGCAGACAGCAAATGAGCAGAAGTCTTTCTTCTGCCTTCACAAGTGAGTTGATTTTTTTCCCTCCATTATTTCATATCCCCATTGTTCAGTTCATTTCAAGATAGCCCTTTCCAGTCCACGACCTGATTCTCTCACATTTCAAGTCAGGCCAGCACCACGCAAGAGATTTGTAATCCAGCAGCATGACCGCTACATTTGAGTTTGTTTTACTTTTGGTTGGGCAGGGGGCGCCTGAAGAGCAAGATGTGTGGCTCTGTGGGGTGGGAAAAGAACAAGTGGAGGCGGCGGTACTTGAAATCAGTCATGTGTAAAAAGATCGGAGTCTATCACCATCCTATGCTTAAAGCAGTAGTAAAATCAGAATTGCAATAAATGTGCATTTAAAAACATTTCTCCACAATCGAAAATTCCTGATTTCGGTATGACACCATACCGATACAATGGCAAAAACCCAAAGTATCAGTAAAAGTGGTACCGAATCATCAATGACAATACACATTTGAAATTATTTGCATTGAATTGATTCAAAAATCAGATTGGGGAGTGAGGACATGAAATGAAAGGATTGTATTTTTATGCCCAGTAATACTGTCGTCGTCGTGGTCGCCTGGCTGCTTATCAGGCAGTGAATTTAGTAGTTCTTAAATTTGACCCATCTGTATTGCAGTTGCATCACAAATTAATTGTTTAATGTGATCTGTTAGATGACTAAAGGACAAGGTTTGTTTGCTCTAACACTCGTGAGTAAAGAATACCCGCTAATTACTATTGTTGTTGCTCGTCCACATGATCAGTAAAGACCAAGGGCTTTTCTAAACCACTTGTGCTACCGTCTTTTCAAACTAGGAATATTCACAAGTGTCATTAAAAACCCTTTTGTTAAACACAGAAGTGACGCCCCACATTAGTGCTCCTACAAATTTAAAAGCATTTATCCATGTCCCTCAAGACTATTTAGTCAAGATGATGGAAACGTCAACAGAATTCCAGGATAACAGGATTTAAAGACCTATCAAGATGGAATAGTGTGCTCAAAACCATTTTTCTCCTTTGCGCCTACTATCAATGTGACATTGCGATTCCTAAAGCGATAAGTTACCTGGCTGGTGGATCATGTAGTGAACCCATCCTTGGCTCTGCTGCACACCAAGGTTCCTCCATTCAGACTCTGACATCAAATGAGTCTTTGGTACACGCTTGGCAATATCTTTGGGCAGCATGACATGTCTTCATTATAACAAGGGGGAGGGAGGGCGAAAAAAAACACAAAAAATAATCCATAGACTCCTGGGTTTATATCATTTCGAATTGCCAAACTTATTAATTGATTTGAAGACTTTAAAACACACTTGGACATGCTGACAGTATTACAAGACACACACATACCTGTATTCATATTTCTCGTCGTCATATTTATCAGAGTAGTAGATCTGTTTGTGCGACATGCTGGCAGCCTGGTGGAGGGCGGGAGGGACTGGAAAACGTCAGGGACAGCTTCATTGACGACAAAAAAAAAGACATCGTTATATTGCAAAAGTAGTGAATACGTCAATCTGTTTAGCGGCAAGTCGTAATGAAATATGTTTATCATTATGCTAGGTCGGCTAGGATAACCTCGCGAACTCAGATGAGCGGTTTACACCATAAAAGACACAAACAAAGCGCGTACGCCATGATGGAAACACACGGGAAACACACAAGTTACCTGATTTCTCGGAGAGGGACTGAATTTAGTTGGTTTCTTTCTCTTTTTCTTTTTGAGTGCTCGAATTGCAACGCTCGCTTAGTTTCGCACTTAAATGACAACGAGAGCCCGCTTCTCACCATTCAAATGGACCTGGCCTCTTCTCATTGGCTGACACGTCTAGAAAGCCGACGCTTCTATTGGTCCAATTGGCCCGTCGCAGAGTGATGAAGTCTCTCAACGGGGTCTTCCGAATGGTCCGACAAATGCTCACCGATGTGTCAACGTGGCGTTCATGTCTGCAGGGGCAACTTTTCTATCAAATACAATGCATGGACATTGAAAACAAGCGCCCAGAATAAACATAACTTGCTAATTTCCAACTTATTTTTATTAGGTTTACCATGAATGCCAAAAAAGCGCATTATCAAACAAGAACAACTGTAAAACAGACGTGTTTTTGTGCACATAGAGGCATAATTGTTATTTCACTTTTAAATCCACACGGACTTTGCCCCTCCTAGCTTAGCGTCGTCGTAGCCACGCAGCTTAGAAGGGGCGTGTCGTATCTACATTAGTGAAGTGGCGCGGACGAACCTTAGCATGTTAAGTGACGTCTTTGTTTATGTTTATTTTATCACTTGGGTTTTTTTTCTTACCTTTGTCTCTCTAATACATCCCAGAGTCGGTTACTTTCGGCAAGTGTATAATTTGCTCTCAAATTGTGCTGCACAGAAAACAATATCCGTTTTATCGTGCATTTTTAATACCAGTCAAATTATGTATACTGTACAATGTGCCATCAAAAGATTAGTATTAAAGATAAAAAAGTTGTCATTTTTAACGAGTATTATAGTTCTTCAATATGATGAAATAAATGATACGCCAGAGCAACTGGGCAAGGGAAGTCCCCCGCGCCCTCAGTCAAATATAGCCGCACGGACGTGTCCTTGAGCGGTTGGTCCACGTCTACCTCTCCTACGTATAAATACATGTGCTTGATCGCATTTACGCTTTAAGTTTGTCTCGGGAGGATCTTTAGGTCACCATCACCTGCCAGACATCAATCAAAGCCAAGATGTCGCTGACGCCACACTTCAGATTCACGTATTTTATTGGTGGGATGCAAACGAAGATGTGGTGTAGATGAAATGCGATTGGTTGACAAAGTGCCTCTGCCCATTGGTGGAAGTTAATACAGACGTCCGTGCTCAAATGAGTGCATACTGAAATCCGATTGGTCGACGGGCTTATCGGACTGACGTGACGCAGATCAGAATTCCCGAAGTCTCCAAATTCGAGGGGAGGATCCGAGGATAATAACGGGATCATCGGGAGTGGAAATTACTGCTGAGCGACGTGGGGTAAATATGCAGTGTAGTGTGTTCGTAGTGATGACGTCGAGGGTGTTTGTGGCCCGTGCGTAGCTGCGCGCGAAGGCGGAAGTGCCTTCGCATCCTTTGTTTACCATCACGAGAACGTCGAACGTGCTCCCTTTACTTATAAATGAATCCATGTACTCAAAAATGCAAACATTAAACGTAGGCTTCCTCTATCTGCCTTGATGTGGGCGCGAAAAGCGTGACCTCACTGTCTTGACTTTTGGATCATTTCGCCACTGCCCACGTCAAATTTTGGACATAACAGCGAATTCGTCATTCATAGGATGGGATGTTATTAGAATGGGAACCATCGCGTCATTACGTAACCTGTATTACGCGTTAATCCCGTTTTATTGCGTGCGTGTACACGTATCACGGCTGCGATCGTCCGTGCAATAAGCGCCCGTTGTTACTTTAGTTTCCATACGAAGAGCAAATGTACATGCCTCTAGTCATTTTTAGCTTGCACGTATCGAAATCACTGCGGTGTCTTCTGCAGGCTTCAACAAAAAAGAGGTAAAATTGTGTCCTCTGTGCTGTGCCAAGAGGGCGCCTCAAGGTGGCAATGTCGGACCACAGCAGCAGCACTGGCAGCAGCGGCTCGTCCACCAACAGCTGGACGCTCCTCTCCCCAGAGGTAAGCCCTGAAAACGACCTCACACACTCACACACACACACACACACACACACACACACACACACACACACACACACACACGTACACACAAGTCGTTTCTCAGGTTCTTGTTGGGGCTTTATTTCTCAAAATAAGCCAAAGATAAAAGGCAAAGGTGATTGAGATATGCTCTTGAATTTGAAACCCATTTCCAAGCTGTCATACTGTATATTTAAAAAAATAATGTAAAAAATGATACACACTCAGCTGAAATCTTTTTTTTTTTGATGAACATCCTAGAGTGGTTTAGGTCCTACTTGGCAGGCAGGACTTTCTGTGTTAGCCTTGTATGCTTTTGAGTCTCATTCTTCCCAACTGGCATATGGTAGTCCACAGGGTTCAATTGTTGGGGCCCCTGGGTTCCAGCAGAAGAAAGCATGGCATTTTATTTCAATACTTTGCGGATGACAGTCACATCTATTTCCCGCTAAGCAAAAACGATACTTTCTGCTTCAGGCCATCCATTTTATGATACGCTTTTTCCTGACAAGGGTCGCGGGGCACTTTTGTCCTGTCTGGAAGAAATCAAAGCCTGGTTGGCACTAAACATTTTCATCTTTAACACTTTTACAAACAGATTTATGTGTTTTCCGCTTTGCATTCAATGTGGTTGCTTTTAAAGTGATCTAGAAATAAAATGTGAGTTGAGAAACACAACGTAAGCAAAATGCAAGAAACCATTTGTGGGAAGAGGTGTTCATTTTTTTTTGGTCTCATCTTCAACAGGAGGTGGCCGTGGACAATGGGGGAGCGCTGGACGATGGCACGGAGAGCCTGGGCGACGCCCCCAGCCTTTCTGAAGACATGGCGGCAGGTACGGAAAGTCACGTTAAAGCACTTGAGAGGACAACGGCCGTGAACGCGGTATTGCAAAAAGTCCTTCACCTTGTGTTGTTATTGCAGGTGTCGCTGGGGAGATCAAGCCCAGTGACATTCCAGTGGAGTGTGTCTTATCAGAGGAAGGCCACCAGGTTGGTACACGACACACATAAGCTTAACGGGGACATTTTATGTCAAAACTGAATTTGGATACTCAAAAGTTGTGTCTCTGGAGAGACAGCCACTCCATTCATCAACCGTGAAACGAATCCATCTAATTCAATTCCCCAAATGTGGCTGTGAGACTGTACGCCCCCACGTCGAGTTTGTTAACTCAAGACTTAGCAAGGCCGAGATCAGCCGTTTTCAAGCAGCGTGCAGTTTAACATTGATATTACACACACACACACACACACACACACACGTACACACAAGTCGTTTCTCAGGTTCTTGTTGGGGCTTTATTTCTCAAAATAAGCCAAAGATAAAAGGCAAAGGTGATTGAGATATGCTCTTGAATTTGAAACCCATTTCCAAGCTGTCATACTGTATATTTAAAAAAATAATGTAAAAAATGATACACACTCAGCTGAAATCTTTTTTTTTTTGATGAACATCCTAGAGTGGTTTAGGTCCTACTTGGCAGGCAGGACTTTCTGTGTTAGCCTTGTATGCTTTTGAGTCTCATTCTTCCCAACTGGCATATGGTAGTCCACAGGGTTCAATTGTTGGGGCCCCTGGGTTCCAGCAGAAGAAAGCATGGCATTTTATTTCAATACTTTGCGGATGACAGTCACATCTATTTCCCGCTAAGCAAAAACGATACTTTCTGCTTCAGGCCATCCATTTTATGATACGCTTTTTCCTGACAAGGGTCGCGGGGCACTTTTGTCCTGTCTGGAAGAAATCAAAGCCTGGTTGGCACTAAACATTTTCATCTTTAACACTTTTACAAACAGATTTATGTGTTTTCCGCTTTGCATTCAATGTGGTTGCTTTTAAAGTGATCTAGAAATAAAATGTGAGTTGAGAAACACAACGTAAGCAAAATGCAAGAAACCATTTGTGGGAAGAGGTGTTCATTTTTTTTTGGTCTCATCTTCAACAGGAGGTGGCCGTGGACAATGGGGGAGCGCTGGACGATGGCACGGAGAGCCTGGGCGACGCCCCCAGCCTTTCTGAAGACATGGCGGCAGGTACGGAAAGTCACGTTAAAGCACTTGAGAGGACAACGGCCGTGAACGCGGTATTGCAAAAAGTCCTTCACCTTGTGTTGTTATTGCAGGTGTCGCTGGGGAGATCAAGCCCAGTGACATTCCAGTGGAGTGTGTCTTATCAGAGGAAGGCCACCAGGTTGGTACACGACACACATAAGCTTAACGGGGACATTTTATGTCAAAACTGAATTTGGATACTCAAAAGTTGTGTCTCTGGAGAGACAGCCACTCCATTCATCAACCGTGAAACGAATCCATCTAATTCAATTCCCCAAATGTGGCTGTGAGACTGTACGCCCCCACGTCGAGTTTGTTAACTCAAGACTTAGCAAGGCCGAGATCAGCCGTTTTCAAGCAGCGTGCAGTTTAACATTGATATTAGTGTGTTGATAAACAGCACTTGAACACGTTATGTAATATTCCTCGGTTAACCGCAACAACCAGGAAAAACCTCAAAACAATGCGAGAGGACGCCCCGCCACTGCCAAGCCCGAGTTTAACAAGGCCTTTCAAACAGGATAAAAGCTGTGCTGTAAGTCATGATGTTTAGGCTGTTTTATGACACAAGCACGTGACACACAGTTTTTGTTCTCAGTTGACAGAATCCAAACATTCTAAAAGAAATCTAAATCATTTAAAAATTCAGTGAAAATGTTTTGCATTGATAAAGTGTCAAATAAAAAAAACTCAGAAATAAACAACAAATAAGTGGATGAAAAAAACATTTCCACATTTTAAAAATGTTTATTGATAATTATGCAATCCAATTGATCATCGAAATTATCATGCTAATAAAATAACTCTTACAAAATACATGTCTATTTTGAAAAACAAAACAAAATGAGGAAAAAAAATCAAGTTTGGAAAACAAAACCACAACATGTATTTTAAATAAAAAGGAAAGCAATTTGAAAAAAAAAATCCAGAATCTCAAAAAACGTAAATTTGAAAGATAAACCCCAAAATTTGTCTTTGATTTTTAAAAAAAAAATAATAAAACGCTTATTTATTATATATATATTTTTTTCTTATGAATCATTTCAGATTTTAAACACCAATGAAAAACATTTCACAAATGAAATTGGAAGCCCTCAAAGGCCCCCCAAATTCATTCATGAACAAAAACGCCTTTTTGACGCAGCGGGTTGGAAGATGGATGATTAATGACGCACGCACTCATTGCCAGGTGTGTCAAGAGACCGCCCCAGAGTCCGGTGACGGTCACACCCTTTGCTGTCCTCTCCAGCCTGACCAGTCGGAGGCGCTGGACCCGGAGAGCCAGGCCCCCGTCATTCACGACATCGTGACCAGCTCACCTTGCGACAACGAGCACCCGGGCGTGGCCTTCGTCTCCAGCCTGGATTTTGGGGTGCCGCCGGATTTCGCAGAGCCCGACGAGACCCTTCGGGAAGCAGATAACTCAGTCGCTGACGAACCGGAGCCAGTCGTCATCCCCGCTGAGACGGTCACCGCCTCGGAGCCTCCTTGGCACGGGGACGCCGACATTAACCGAGACCAACCGGAACCGCCGGTGGGCTCGGGCCCAGCTGATGATGTCAAAGCACCAGAGAGCCTTGGTTCGATGCAAGTAGAGGACAAGGAAGAAGAGGAGGGCCCACCTGAGTTTGAGATACAGGAGGAGCAGGAAGAAGAAGGAGGTAGCTGCCCTTAAAGGGGAAGTCAAAAATGTTCTTTACAATAATATATGGAGGAAAAAATGTTTGCTGCGTAAGTCAGACTCCACACACGCGATATTAATCAGAATTCATTGATACCTATTTTTTTAAATCATCGGGAGAATTATTCGGATCTCTACGTTAGTTTAACAAACCAGTCACTGGCGCTGTCCAAGGCAATCAGAGCAAAAATGGTGAATAATGGATGCACGAAAAAAGCTTCAAAATGTTGGGGCCAAGAGAAGGGTCGTCGCTTGCAGTTTACAATTTTCTAATTGGATCTTTCCAGTCGAATGAATTTCACATATATGCCATTTCAGAAAGCCCCACTGGTCACCATGGCGACGGACTGCGCAGGAGGACGTTCCAGTCCGGGCCGAACGCGTCAGATGTGGAAGACGAGGATGACGGGGACGAGGACGAGGACGAAGAGGAGATGGACTTCAGGCTGCCAGAGACAAAGGAGGAGAAGGCTTGGTGGTCGGCCAACAAGTGCATCGCGGGCGCCGCCGTGCTGCTCTTCCTGGGAGTGCTCTTCCTTTCCGGTGAGCTCGCAGGCTGCGGACGCCGCCGACGAAGATTACGATTTCATAATTGAACCACATCCCACCCAAGCCGTTGTTCTGGCAATTTTCCGACATATTTCTCGTGCTACCTCGTTATTCCCCCAAATCTTTTATTTTTCTTATCCTATTCCAAATTTTTTTATAAATGTATTCGAACTTGATTTCCATCATATTCCAACATTGCTCGACGACGATACCGGGTGGGTGCGCGACTAAAAGGGAGCAACCAAATGATTGCGCTGATCCAAAGCGCTTCGCCGGGCCGACTCGCGCAGCAGAAGCCAAATGACCTGCACGCAGTTTCCCGCCGTCGGGCTTGCGTGGCGAACGCGCCAACTGGATAAATGTCCAAAGCGGCGCAAAGAATGCGGGTTTGATGCCGGCCGCCTTCTGTCGGCCGCGGCTAAGAGTGACGCCTACGCGTTGTTTGTGCTTGTTGACAGGCGACTTTGACACCGGCGATGTGAGCGATGCAGAACAAAGCCAGGTCTGTTTGCCCACTTCCTCTTGTTGACTTCCTGTACACACGCAGCGGATACTTGATTAGGCGCACAAAATAGACCACCCAATCACGAAATGCTCTTGTGGTTTTCCTTTGAATACAGTTTTCTTTTGCCGAACATCCAAATGTCGGAATGCAATTTTATTTTTCCCTTTTCACCTCGCACGTCATTCATATCATTGCTGTCTTGTCAAACCGTGATGACTTTTCACGTCACCTTTCATTCATGACAAAATGACACCAGATTGTCTTCATATCACACAGCCGCCGTTCATGACAACAAAAGCGAGTACACTCTTTGACTCTGTGCCCCTTTGCTTCCCTCTCAGAAAGCCGCTGACGCTCTAGGCAACACCGGCTTCTTCCTCACCAATGAGATGTCTGCAGGTTTGCCTTCCCTCGCGCCTTATGGCCGCGCTGCAAAAGGACGCTTTGTTCCTCCACGCCTGCGATTTATTTTTATTTTTGGGTCTGCCCTCTTCTGTTGTGTGTCCAGAGTTCCAAGCAGTCTTGGACATGTTTGACACGGACGGGAGCGGGGACATCAGCGCCAAGGAGCTGGGCACCGTCATGAGGATGCTGGGAGAAAACCCCTTGAGGCGGGAACTGAGCAACATCATTAAGGAGGCCAAAGAAGACGGTGAGGAAGAGGAAATTGTTTTTTTGTTGCGTGTCGTGTCACACTCGGGGTGACTCGTTGGACCTCGGAGTGTTCTCGTGCAACGCATTAGTTTACAGGTTTAATCATGTACTACTTGGCACAAAGTGGCATGAGCTCTTATGGTTCCTATTCGTATCAACTCAGTAACGTTAAATCACGCGTCGTTGCAAAAGTGGAGGGGGGGGACACAAAGCCATTGACAATGCTAGTTTGCTAACCACCACACTCACGGAACGGACAAAACGCGAACACGTTAGCTCCCAAAAAGTTGCGATCTGCAAAACAAAAGACAAACGGCTGACCATTCTGCATTTCTTCATATAATTCCGATGCAGCCGACAAACTTGATGGGAAGAAGAGCCGTGAGAGGGAAGGGCAAAAACAAGACAGCGGCAACCGCTGGAGGCGAGTGTGGGTGCACCTGGAGAAGATCCGGAGGGAGATCTCGGAAGGTGTGGAGCGCTGGAACGAGAGGAGGAGGAAGGACCCGGAAAAGCGGCGCAAAGACGAGGGGAAGGAGGAGTGGAAGCGCCGCAACGAGTGGGAAGCCAAGAAGCTGCAGCGCCGGCTGGACCGCGAGAAGAGGAGGAAGGAAAAGCCGTGGCGCGGTCAGCGGAAGCAGCGCTCCGACGACATGGCCGACTTCTGGCGGGCGCAGGAACACAAGCTGCGGCGCCCCAGCCGCCCACGCCGCTGCGCCTCGGTGGAAGACTGCGCTGCCCAGGAGGGCCTTTTCCCCGTTGAGCTGCCCGAGTTCCAGGAGCTGCTGGAAGGCTACCTGGACAAGCTGGAAGGCTCGCCCGCGGAGAGCAAGAACGTCCTCCGGCGGCTGGTGGCCAACTTCTTCAGCGGCGGCGTCTTCGTGCACGACCGCCGGCCGTTCGCCGACTTCGCCGAGGACGTGGCGGACATCCTGGAGGACATGGCGGATGTGGCGGAGGGCGCCGACGACACCTTGGAGGAGGCCATGGAGGAGTTTGAGAGGGAAGCCCTGTGGAAGTTTGCCGCCGTGGAACAACATTGAGCGGAGCGACTGAGGCGGAAATCTTCTTGCCGCCAGAGCTGGAACTGACGCAACAAACATATCCCCGCTCTCGCGGCTCTGCACAGTAATCCTCCCACAATTAGAGGCCACGCCCTGCCACAAATACTCCCAAATGCCACCTCAAGAAAATTAGAATTTCATATCTCAATTGTGAAACCTCAACCTTTGATTTTTTGGCCATGAACTACGAGAAGACTAATTGAAGACATTAAATTGTCCATGTCGAGATGCTTTAGAAAATGGATGATTTTTATTTTTTTTGTGCTTTAACTGCATGACACAAAATCGGTTCTTGTCATTAATATAAAGACCCGAACGTTTGTTTTTTTTGTTTTTTTATTTAAAGCACATTCAGGGACCATTTAACCCAAATTGAATGACTCAATCCAGTAAATAACAAGGAATTTAAATAGTTTTAAGGGGTTTGTACCATTGTCCATAATTGGCTACAAAAGAGCCAAAATTTGATCCAAACAGTATATTAGTGATTTGAAATGACAAAATAATACTGAAAAATCCTTGCCCTTAAAAAAAAGTATTTTTTCCAGTAAATAGCTGGAGGTGGGTTACTTTATGAGTGTGTGGGGGGATTACTGTAATCCTGTCGTGGTGACGTTTGTCGTGTTTCTCGTACCTTTTGTCAAGCCCGCTTGTGTCTTCTATCTATTGTTGATTTTTCCTGAAGATTTTTGACTTAGATCCCCGAAGATGACAGTCAGCACGCCACCCACACAGGAAACAGGCATTGACTGCATTCAAACGTTTTTACGGACAACAAAGCGTCGGTCGAAACGTGTCGACAAAGAAGGTGGATGACTATTGGAAACGAGTTTGCCGCGCAGCATTAAAGGTGATACGTTGGCGCTCCCGAACGAGACTCTGGGATCCATGGTTGTGTTTGTGTGTGTGTGTGTGTGTGTCATGTTCATGCAGGGAGGGCTGTTTACTAATGGCACATGTCCTGCAGGCAAATGTCATTAGCATCTTTTGGGATGGGTGGGGGGGGGTTGTCATAGTTTAATTCTTTTATTTATTGAGTGGTGTAGCACTGCATACTTTATTTTGAACTTCCATTTGCTGCTGTGCCTTTTTATTCAGAATTTTTCATACGGTCCAGTTTGGATTTCAAAGGAATGTAATGTTGAGAAGAGGAATGTGACTCTTGTGCTTCAGCGGCTTTTATTTCTCAGCAGTTGTTTGAACGACATCACGACATCAGTATTTGTTTTTGAGCTTTCTTGCTGTGTTTTCTGCTAGTTTTGAAAACGCATGTCTTTGACAGTTTTGCTTCACGCCTTCCCCCGATGCTGTCCAGTGTTCAGTTCAATAAACGATCACCCCAAAATCACACGGCATTGTCTTTTCCCTATGTGGCTATCTGTTAGCATGCTAACATTTTGTAAATTCTCATGGAAAAGAACCTGCACACTCACTACTGTTGTTTGCTGCCTCGCTGTTTGTTAAAAATGCTTGTTTGCCGTTCGCAAATGAACATAGCACGCTTGCTCTCAGCATTGTTTGAATTGGAAATGGGCGTCCGGACTCTGTTGATTACACCTGAACTATTTTTTTCCCTGTAGATGAAAAGTGAGGGTAAAAAGTGTGTAACACATCCGCGAACCGACCAGTCGTCCGTCAAAAACGTTCGTAATGTTCGACAAGACGACACGACGAGGCGCGAAGTCGTGATGACGAAACCGCTGCAGACACCAGTCATGCTTTGAATTCCCAAGCAGGTCAGCCCGCGTGCACTACACAATAACATTTGCAATGACTCGCAACATTAGGAACAGGCACTGGATGATGAAAGCGTTATCAGAATTGCACTTTTTTTTTCTCAAGGTCACCAACGATTAGCGGTGGCTCGGTCGGGCCTGCTGCTTTGGCTTCCAAATGGGCTTATGTTAAAGTAGCTACTAAGATAGTCCTGGGTAAAAATGTGCAACTAAACCAACGAACTGCCAACAATACATTTTGTGAATAAATTGGATGACATTTTTCAACAACGAAACAGAAGATCATAAGATTTAAATCAAATCATAAAACATCAAAATCATCATTTCAATGCCATTGTAAGAGGTTTGAATCTCCTGCAGGTGCCCCGTCAATCACGATGACCTCATCTGCGCGATGTTTTGTATAAACTCCATTCTGCTTCGACGGGCATGATCTGTTCTCTTGTCTCGTGTGTTCGGACTGATGCTATCTGTCGATCCTAAACATGAAGATGTCCGGTCATCAGCATTTTGGTCTGGAAAATGAATGCAAGTGGCACATTTTCCGCTGATCGCTGCATCTCTACATGGCATATAAATAGACGGGCATGAGCACCATGACAGAAACACGTCCCAGCTCCTCGCACATCACACGGTATGGAACACTGCATGTCTCGTCTTTGTATTTCTATGACTCCTGAGAGCTGACTTTTTTTTTTTTTTTTTTTTTTGGCAGGTGAAGCCAGCATGGAAGCCGCCATCTTGACTTTGGTCCGCCAGTTCAAGGAGTACGCGGGCCACGACGGGTCTGCCAGCACGCTGAGCCGCGACGAGTTCCACCAACTGGTCGCCTCGCAGCTGCCCAACTTTGTCAAGGTAATAACGGCTACCAATTTGAAGGACTCGATGGCACTTCCTGGTTTATCACCCAAATAAGGCTATTAGGACGCATATTTGAGCCACTGAGAAGTACTTTGGGCTAACTCAGATTTTGTCATTATCTCGGAGAGGGCTTTTCATCGTGTGACAAAGAACTGTCATTTAAGATGTATTTTATTCCAATAAAATGGGTAGAAAATAATACAAATGTTCAAATACCCCGGATGTTTCATTCCTCTTTTTTTCAGACCGATACCAGTGCAAGTATTGACTCTTAAGTACTCACCAAGTACTCATACCACCAGTACGTATTAGATACGAATGACAGAAAATTGTGACCTCTCCGTCTTTCTGACATACATGACGGTTCACGAATGTGTCAAACAGCAGCAGCGTAGCACCCACTATCCACACATGACAGTCTCTCATTTTTTATTTTTGTTGAGACTGGTGAGCCGGGCGCGGTGGACCACCTCATGTCGTCTCTGGACCAGAACGCCGACGGCGAGCTGACCTTCTGCGAGTTCTGGCAGTTGATCGGGAAGCTGGCCGGCAAGCAGGGCGGCTACGCCGCTTAGAACGCCGCCGCCTCGCCTGTGCTTTTTTTCCTGGTTAACCATTGGCCCCGGATTAAAGGCTTTATTGTTTCCCCCAGTTCCCTGTCATTCATTCACTGTACTCACAGCCTTGATTTAGTGGCCCGGTTGTAATTCTACACACGGCATATCTTGTTGCACCCAGCGCTCGCTAACAATATCCAACTTGTGTTATTGTGTTCATTGTCATGTCGAAATTTGCAAAACGGCTCAGAGAAAGACCTTTAGCAAGTGAATTAACAATACATTGTCGTCCAGTAATATCCCGGAAATAGCAAGAAACAGCGAGTAATTGAGTCACTGGGTTGGGCTAACTCCGCTAACACCATTTTTTTCATACAGCCACCACAAATAGGACAAATAAAATAAATAAGTTCTCATTTTTCAAAGAAAAAGTTGTACTATTATAATATTCAAAAATGGTTGGGCATATTATTGAAATGTATTATTATTGAAAAAACGTATTAGCCTAATAGCATAGCAACAAACAAGAGTCCAGTTGTCTCAATTCAATTGTGAGAATGACTGAGATTCTAAACAGACAGAAAAAAAGCACATTTTTTAGCAAGCATGTTGCTATCAATGACTGATTTTAGGGGAGTAAGTTAAAAAGGATTCATGCTGTTATGCTAACCCTGCCGCGTTTTTTGTTTTTACTTTTGCCAGTAAAATGTTATTTTTAAAATATGTTTTTATTGTTGGTCATAGAACAAAATGTGTGATCACATTTTAGTCAGTGAAACTTCCATGTAAAATTTTGCAGCCTTTCCGCAACAAACAGCCCATGTAGCCACGATTTGATGTGAATTTTTTACTCGAAATAACTTTTGTTCCTCCATTTCCCGCGTGGGGGACAAAACAATATTTCGTTTGAATTTCTTTGACTTATTTATGTTTGTTTGTTTGTTTTTTTTTTTTCATGGAGCTGGAAAGTGTGTTCAAAAAGCACACGAAGTCACCGCAAGTGTGTCCATCACACACATTTGGGCGCACAGGCGCCGCCAAGTCATTGCAAGCCGATGTCAATTTGCAAGCTTTCTCGGTGGAAGTTGCCCAGCTGCTGCACCATCCCTCCCTCCTCCCTCCCTGCCTCTTTCTCTGTGTGCTCTTCCAGGTACACGCCCTTTCACTTGTCAGTGGGGGGAAAAGTTTGAAGGCAAAAAAAAAAAAAAAAAAAGAAAGAAAGAAAAGAAAATCACGGAAGAAACTTGAGCAGTTGTACGAGTTTAGCCAGTTGCGTGGACTCGAAGCGGGAGTCGCTGCAGCACCGCAAGGAGAAGAAGAAAGGGAGCTGGAAAAGTTTCTTTTTGCGCACATTTGCACGCCTTGGCCCGACGCTTTTCGGTAGGTGGCTTTTATGTGAGTGTCTGTTTGCTGCTCGGGAAGTTGGGCTCGTTCGTTTGGTGCCACGTTTCGCCGTCCACCCACCGTAAAAAGAAAGAGAAAGAAAAGAAAAAGAAACAAAGTCACTCCGCGCTTTCTCGGTGCGATCAGTGACCATTTAAAAGGGGGGTGGGGATGTACAGATTGAAGTCGATAACTTTTTAAAATCCATTTATTTCCCAATTTCTGTCTCTTCTTTTATCCTCCTTTTTTTTTTTTGCTAGTTTGCTTCAAGTTGTAGGCATCTAAATTGCGCAAAAACTTTGCACGCCAAGAGTGATCGGATTGGCGTTTTTCCAAGCCTGTGTCCACCCAGCCCGAAGGGAAGGGTGTGGAACATGAGGCCCGCGGGCCACATCACACCAAGCACAGCGTTCAAAGTTGTAATATTACAAGATTGTTATTATTTCCGAGGAAAGATGTCACCTTCTTATGTCAGATGTCATTTCCCAAGGAACAAAATGAGATTATTCCTGAAACAAAAAAAGGCTTTCCTTTTTCTGTTTCAGGAAAAATGTCAAAATCGAAATCTTCTGCTAATCTTTTGATTACAACACATTAACATCCCCATTTTGGGGAAAATGTAAGTCATGTTTGGAAATTAAACGTTGATTGTTTTGTGACAAAACTGTCATCGTAATTCTTGAAGTTATGTTTTTGGAGGAAAAAGTTCAAGTTTGTGCATTATGATTTCATGCGTCATTGCTCATTTGTGCACCTGGCCAGCAGGGGGCGGTAAAATACAGACCGACATAATTTAAAAAAAAATGAAGTGTTGAACAACTAAGTGATTCAGTAAACTGTGGTTATCGTATTTGGTGTTTTTTTGCAGTGGATAAAAAAAAATATATGCCTGTGAGAATTGTTCTTGGCTCATTCCTTTGGATTGGTCGTGTTCAGTACATTCCTGGTCATGACCTCAACAAGCTCCTGCGTTAATATTTGATGATTATGCGTTTATAGTAGTGCGTGTGCGCATACCCGCAGATCACATTCGCCCCAACACCGGCGTCGCTCTCCAATGGGCGGGGAAAGAGGAAACCTGCAGTTGTAAGGCGTGTACGTTTCAGGAGCTGGGGGGCAGGGAGTTTGTTTTTTCAGGGCTTTTAGGACAAATAAGGCAGATTAGTTGGAGGCCGTGACATGGGACGGTGGATGCAAGAGCCGCAAGGTTGAATCATTGATGTGCGAATGGGCGCACAGCGTTGAAATGTTTGTCTTACCTTGGAGTGGTCTATCTAGTTTGCTAGCTTTATCTGTCGATAGTGTGTCACATTAGTGGTGGAAAAAGTGTGGAAGTGTTTTTTGTTTTGTTTTTTAATGTTGGAAAAAGCTGGCATTTGGACAGGGTTGTGCAACTACTTTGTTTTCTGCTGTGCTAAGTTTTCAAAACAAGAGTTGTAAATAACGGTCAGTAAAAAGTCATTTAGTGTATTTTACTGTCACAGGTCTTTTTTTTAATACTAGTGTCTGTACTTATACTGAAATGGAGGGTGGGAATACTTTTTGCACTTGAGCCTAATAGTGACAAAGTGCATTTTTATGCGCACAACACACAAACATTTGACAGCTCGCACATTGCTCTGTAATGGCTTGCAGCTTGAAGTGCTGCTTGTTTGGCGCCACACTGGCTCCACTGGAGGATGGAAACCAGTCAAGTTGCACAAAAAGCGCAGAGAACAGCCCGTCTTTTGCGGCCTAAACAGCTTTTTTTTTTTTTTTTTTTAATGTTGTTTTGACCTCGCATAAAACATTATGTCGCAATGGGAAATGGCAAGTCATCTCATTAGATGGTTACATCATCTTGATGGAATTATCCATCACTCTAAGTTGCTTTTCAATATGCTTGACTAAAGATGGTGGTTTTTTTACGTTTTGAATTCTAAAAACCAAAAAAAAAATGGCTTGCTTTAAAAGAAGGATGGCTGACTTTCTCAAAACAAACGTGACTTTTCACTGAAAAACTGCAACTTTTTTCTTGTCAGACTACAATTTCATTTCCGCAATACCATTTTAAATATCGAAGTCTGGAATTATTTACTTACAAGATGATTTCTTTCTTAGAAAGCTATTTTTCTATTTTCATCATAAAAAAACCTTGGAAAAAATGCTTTTTTTTTTCTTAATTTTTTTGTCAATGACGGCATGATTAGCCAAGTTGCGCTTCACTCAGCCTTCTCATGTGCGTTGTGCTAAGTGTTACATGTGTGCAGCTGTTGTGGCACTAGAAGCGAGAAGCACGGAGCTGAAAAGCTCCAGAGTCTGTCGCTTTGCTCCCGTGGCTTTGAAGTAAAAGAAAGAAGGAGGCGGAGGTCGGTGGTTCAGCCTGTAAATTCCTGTGCCCCAAAACAGCAGTGAATGGAATTACCACGAGGACAAGTCACCCACACACGCACAGGCAGGCTTTACACCTTCTGAGCCAACAGGAACCAAAAGAGGAAGTGGGAAAGCTAGCAAAATAAAATCAGTCACAGCGCTTAATATGGAATGCAAAAATAGAAGGTCTACATATATATTTGTAAATATACTGTTTTTCGTGCCAAAAAAAAAAAAAAGCTGATAGGCAAAACACAACTTATTACTTCAGAAAAGTTGGTGGGTTTTTTTCTTGAAGAAATGACTTTTTTGTAGGTTTTTTTTCCCCCTGAGGATTTGATGTTTTTATTGAAAAAAAAAATGTAATGTACGTATAGGGTAAATGACTTTTTCTTGAAAAACGGGACTCACATTGAATATCCACTTTTTTTGCTTGACAAATGCCCTTTTTTTTCCCTTGAAAGAGTGATTGCCATATTGGCCTTGAAAACCATCTCCATGTACACAAAAGGTCAGGAGAGAGTAAGGGAGAGTGCATCGGAGACACAAGATGAGCACACCAGGTAATCCGAGGCGATGGGCAGCAGCGGAAGCCTCAGATCAGTTATCAGATGACCTATCAAAGATCGCAGCGGCCATTGTACCTCTAAGTCACACGCTTGGCCCTTCTCGCACCCGCCGCTATCACATCAAATGGAATCTTTTTCCACTCCAATCTTTCTGCGTAGATAAATAGCTATCGACTGCATCCATCTCATATATCTTTTGTGTGCGTTTTGTTGTCACAGAGGGGAGTCATGGAGGAAGCCATTCAGACGGTGGTCAAGGTTTTCCTGAAGTCCGGCAAAGGGAAGGAAAGTTTGGGACCCAAAGACTTCCAGAACCTGGTCAAGAGCCAACTCAGCAACATCCTGACGGTTAGGAAACAAAAACAAATCCTTAAATGTGGTACTTGGATACCTACGGGGTTTTTTTTTAGGTGGTACTTGGTGTAAAATGTTTGAGAGCCACAGATGAATGATTATGATTAATCGTGAGTCGTCTTTGTGTAGGACACGGACAGCAAGGAGGCGGTAAACAACATGGGCAAGGGCCTAGATGCTAACAAGGATGGCAAGGTGGGCTTCGAGGAGTACATGAGGCTTGTGGGCTACTTGGCCAAGGCTGTCAGTGAGCAGCGTTCCCGAGGCAATGACGCCCAGCCCGACCAAAACGGCCAGAGCGCCGCTGCGGAGAATGCCACCCCGGAGAACGCAGCCCCCAAGGCAGAAACCCCGGAGGTCAAGCTGGAAGCTAACGCGGATGGAAAGATGGAGGTGAAGTTGGATGTCAAGACGGAGGTGGAGGAGAAGAACGAGGAGGCGGAGAAGCCGGTGGCGGTGACCTTACCGAGCATGAAGGTGACCGCACCCGGCGTGGAGTTGACCTCACCTGGCGTGAACGTGTCCGCACCTGGCGTGGATGTGACGGCACCAAGCGTGGATGTGACCTCACCGGCTGTGAATGTGACCTCACCGAGTGTGGAGGTGACATCCTCAAGTGCGGAGGTGGTTGTGAAGAAGGAGATCCTGGTGGCGGGAGAGACGGAAAAGATGGTCGAGGAAGCGGTGGAGAAGATGGCCAATGCGGCAGAGGAAGAAGCCAAGATGAAGCCTGAGGAATCTGCCACCTCGTAGGGGACAATCAATGCATCCATTTTTCCACCCATCACACTAATAATAGTAACATGAATAATAATAATTACACCACATCAACACTAAGAGCCACTACAACGGATAAAGGCCTAAATTTATGACAAATATATGACCACTAGCTGGCTTACTTGATTTATTGAACATCTCGAGGTAGTTGGTGACCTACCGAGCTAAGTAGGTCTCTTAATAGCTTTTTCTAGCCGTCTGCTTAGCTAGCTATCATATAGAGGTACCTAGCTTTCTATCTGTGTGAATTTCGAAATGCTAGCCTGACTATCAATATATAGATATGACCATAGAAAGCTGCCAAGTCAGCTTTGTAGTTGAGTAACTCTGGAGGATACAGAAGAAATGTACACCTATCTTACAAGCATTATCTAGCTCCATCAAGTTATCTATCACCGCCAACTAATTAGCTTTTTATCTCTAGCAAGCTGTCTAACTCGCTGTCTGTTTTTACTAGTCACCTCTGTTTTTAGTTGCAAAAAGTTAAGTTATAAAGCTCGCCATTAGCTTACAAGTTCCTACCTAACCCTAAGTAGCCACTATTAGTTATATTTATATATCCAGACTATACCTACTAGTCACCTAAAAAGCATACTATAACAATGTGACAAGAGTTTCCAAAAATGACAGTCTGTCAAAATGGCTACTTGAACCTCATTAGAATGGACAAGAATTATGAAAATCAGATGATTGCCTGTGGAAAAATTTAGTTTATTGTGTGGGGAACTTTTATGTTTGATATCGTCGATGCGTCCAAATTATCATGACATTTCAAAAAGTGTCTCTTGTCCTACAAAGCTCAATTTAAATAGTGGGAACGAAACATTATTGGCAAGAAGAGCGACTTGGGTGGTAGAATAGATCATATACTTTAATAATCTATTGTTTATTTGTTATGGAATCGTTTGAAGTGCTCATTCTGTTTTTCTGAAACTTTCGCAAAGATGGCAAACGACTATCATGCTAGCTACATAGTTACTTATGTAGCTAGTTACCAAGCTAATAAATTGACTAGCTCACTAGCATCGTATTGGGTGGATTTTGATTCCACCTACTAAAATCTTGAAATTGACCATGATAGAGCAGTAGTAAGATAGCTAGTTAACTCGCTACTTGGCTGCCTCCTATTACAACAGCAGTCCTAACTTTATGACAGATATATGACCCGAATCAGATTTATGACTATGAATTATAAGTATTTGTAGTGTCAAATGCACTAAATCGACGCCATGTCTACAACCACTGCCCTAAAGTGGCCTAGCTGAACGACATACCACTGATAGCATGTGCATGGCACGAATAGAGCACATTTACCTTGCATCGTGAAAATACGGCGGCATTTACGCAATGGTTAGCATTTTTCCAGTCATGCATTTAGCTGTACTCTTTCTTGACCTTCATGACTTTAATTTCTTCAGAGCTGATTAATTTTTCCACTTTTTGTGACTCACAAATGCTTTTTGATGCTGATTTAGGCCTGACAATAAACAAATTGTGATGCCACTAACCAAACTTTGCATCCCTCCTCATTCCCTCCCCCTTCTCCTTTTTCTTCATCTTCTTTTTATATGCTCACTTCACCTGGAAGCAACATTAAGGCCCCCGCAGCCTCAATTAGACACGGAGATCAGGTGGGCCACTAAATATTTAAAACTCAAAGAGGGAATCCAAAACGATCCTTGTTGGTTACTATGTAGAAGAGGGTCGAAATAGTGGAAAGGAGATTGAGGGTGGATCCTCGCAGATTGGGATTGTAGAATAATTTTCATGTGACAAACAAAAAAACCCAACGGCAGCCATGCTCTTGATGCCAACTGGATGAATGCTGTTTTCGGGGGAGTTTGGAGGCCAAAAGAATCATGGAATAATTGGTTCAGGGAACCGGATGTTTGATTTTGAAAACTAATTTCAAATAAAAATGTAGAGCGCTAAAAACCACGGTTTGGGAAACCCTACTTTAGTGTTAAAAGTCAATTTACCTTGTTTTTCTTCAGCGGTGTGACATTTCCCAGTTTTCCTGAATGGGGTATTCATTGTACCCACAATCCTTTTGTGTTAAAAATGCAAAATTCCACTGTGGTCGGGGTTGAAAAACATTCCTATCGCCCAGGCTGGTGTTTTTTTTTTTTTTTTTTTCTTTTTTTTCTTTGTTTTTTTTTTTTGCCTTTTGCTGTTTTTTTTATTTGTTGCTTTTTTGTTTTTCTGTTTTTTTTTGTTTTTTTGTTTGTTTGTGTGTTTTTTTTTTTTTTTTTTTGTCTGTTTGTTTGTGGCCCTCAGTTAGTCTCAAAAACCCTGTTTGACCTGCCATTGGATCTCCACCCTGACCGGATTAGACAACAAACACCCTTGGGATACAACACACAAGCACACACAATTTCCTGAGAGCCATCCCTTCCATCTTGTTTGTCTTGCACACTGAGCCTCTGAAAAAAAAATCCACCCAAGATCATGCGTTTGCATGGAAACCTTCCCCTCCTCTGCCGGTTTGTTAATTATGATTTAATGCTTTGTAAATTGTCACGTTTTCAATAATGCAAGCCTGAGGAAAATGGGCTCATGTTGCACATACTGCTGGCCTTAACACCAATACCAGTAACACAACCACTATGACATGTGCGCAATGCAACGTGCTTGGCAAATAAAAGTCATGTGCTCCTGGCACTCCCATTGTAAATACTGTGCACTCTGCTCAGCCTTTATACACCCTTTTTTAACAATGTTTTATATATATATACATATATATATATATATATATATATATATATATATATATATATCACAATGGTGACTAATATATTGGGCATTTAGGGCTTCTGTGTTTTTTTTGTGTGCGTGTGTGTGTGTGTGTGTGTGTGTGTGTGTGTGTGTGTGTGTGTGTGTGTGTGTATATACACACACACACTTGAATACAGGGAACCCCCGTTTTTTTGCAGAAGCTCCATACCAGACTCACCAACAATCGATGAAAATTTGCAAAGCAAGACCAAAAAACTTTTTTATAGTATTGCTCCTTTCACATGTATTATGAAACACACCCCTAAAAGTATTCTTTGGTCCCTGTTTGCGTAACATTACTTAGAGGAAATGTCCAAGTTTACTGGAAAACCGACGCACAAAAGCGAATAGTTCAAAGTCCAACAGCTTAATGCTAACAAATAATGCAAAACGCCATACACAGACTCATAGAAATTAACGTAGATGATGATAGCAATGACAAACCTTAAAAACAACTGCTGGAGCAGAAATGGCGCAACAATGCACACAAACCGAGCAAACACGAATATGCACAGGCATTCTCTCTGTCGGGGGGCCTTCTCTGCCTCTTCCTTGCCCTTAATTACCCTGCATCTCTTCCAGCGCTGCCCGGCACGATGCTATGGCACATGGTGCTCCTGTGCTGAAGGCCTGCAACTCTAAATTCAGACTTGGCATTGAACAAAAATCTGTGATCTAACGGGGATTCACTGTACTTCTCTTTTCAAGGTACTTTCTGTCACAGCAACGTATCAGCCCAGCGTCCTATGTACATAAAACTCGAACGCGTGTATTATCGTTGTGAGCTTTGCAAGCTTTAAATGTGATCTTTGGTCCATTGTGGGAAAGAAAAGGGAAAACTGGATTGATGGATTGACAGTGAACCTCATACCTCAGCCTGGGACCATCTCATTTAGTCTCTTGTCAATTGCTGGTGAGCCGCGCCTAAAAGCGCTAACTCCATGCAGATGCCGAAAAACACGCCGGAGAGGACAAAGCAGCAGGGCGTGTTTGCAAACATGTTCCCACTCAAAATGGAAATGAAGATAAGAGAGAGTCTGAGAGATACTGTGCGGTCCTGTCATGTGCCAGCCACCAAACGCCAGAGTGTGTGTCTATGCGTGTTAAGCATCTCCGTCTACTGTCCCGTGCGTCGCTACATTGGCAATCCATCGATTCTTACAATGTAAAAGCTGTATCATTTTAACGCTTGGTAAATGTGTTATCGCTGATCATGAATAATAAAACTGTGACAACCTAGCCCAACCACTTGGCTGTCCGTGTCTCCTTGAACGCAACGTGTCCGATACATATGTACATCTGTGTACCAATGTATTTTTCCTCGAGCTTCATAGAACAAAAATATATCTCGTTATATTTATGACGAACTTAAAAACAACAACAACAAAAATATCTTCCAAACCTGATATGCAAGACAAAAAGAAAAGACACGTTTTAAATCGGCGTCAAAAATATCATCGAACCCCCCATTGATGGGTGGACACATCGATTGAGACATACCTGATGCATAGAAGGATATCTGACGCATCGACGTAGCAATACAGAGAAACCTGCGTGAATCGATACAAGATGTAAAGAAATATATGATGATGGCTACCTGGATAAAGAAGTAGAAAGACACATTGGTTGATAAATCATACGTGGAAAGAGACTTGGAACGATACGTGATATACATTGAAGCTACTGCGGTACATAGAAAGATACGGGGGTCAATATACGCAAACATACATGAATCAATAGATTGGTACATAGAGGTACACAATTGATACATGATACATAGAAGGACATTATGACACATTATGTATGCTAGACCAATCCAGGGATACACAGGTCGATATGTAGGCACATTGAACGATACGTAGACAAATGACTATATAGACAGTACATGGAGACTTAGGAAGGAGACACGGCTCGCTAAGGGGTTCACACACGCATAGCAAAGAAGAAACATACTTTCCATGTCGATGGATACGTAGCTGTAGTTTATTCATGAAGGGGTGAATGGCGGACATTTCAGTGTGTTTTTCCACCCTTGACTGCAAGGGACAGAAGACACCTGCAAGGATGTGTCGGTCGAGGACGGCAAGAAGAAGGGCGACAGGGGACAGGCTGGGTGAAGGACGTCTGGGGGTGAAGAGGAGGGGGGGGGGGGTTGAGCGGCAAGGAGATTATATTTAAGCCACTGTCCCACTCCGTCCTCATCCATCTCTGCCTTGGCCCGTGCTCCCTTTGCACCTCGTCCAGCACTCGGGAGGCACTCCGCCAGGTAAGACACTCAAAGACAATCCTTCTCTCCTTGGCAAAAAAGTCGGACCAGCGAGGTCTTATTCAAGTCTTTTGATCATGTGCAGACTCACAGGCCGTCGAATCAGAAAGACTTGCGCTTCAGAAAAGCTCCCGCATGACTAGAATGATTTGTGGTCCCCTAACGGCTCGCTATGATGTGACAAACGGAATAGTGTCCTCTGACAATGAATACCTGTGACAAATCGGTTTCGATTTTCTCCGCCGTTTTCTGCTTACATTTTGTATTATAATTATTATTATTATTATTATTATTATTATTATTATTATTATTATTATTCCGCTTTGTGTTGTGTTTTTGTTTCTATTGTTTTTTCCAATCATCCTGCTTAATTGTATCGACTCTTCCTTGTCGCATCATCAAGCGTCATATCACCCTACGCGCTACGACGGTTGATCTCGAACGTGTTAGACTCTAAAAATAGCTTTGGAGTTTTGGGATGTTGGCTGAGTGAGTGAGCGCGGAGGCCTCGTCTCATCAAGCACCTCGGGTTACTCGGCCTCTCGGCCTGCCGATCGCCAGGTGAGGTTTGTGTTTCACCGCCGGTGTCCAGTTTGGATAATTGCACGCACTGTCGGGAGAGCAATTTGATCCTGGAGCGTGAGTTATTTTTATGATTTGTCAGGCTCCCTATGACTGTTTTGAATTCTGCTTCTGGAGATCCGTGAATTGTTGCTTTCTGTTGCCTGTGATTGACAGTGAGTTGTCTGTGTCTGTGCACAGTCTCCACAGCGCCGCGGTCGCAGCAGAAGCACCAAGATGCCTGACACAATGTGTGTAAGATCGTTTGAAAGCTTCCCCCGCCAAAAAAGCTCAACTAATGCATCTTTACACGACCTCACGCACACACACGGAAAAACATGTTGAATTACGCAGGACTAAAAATAAATAAATAAAAAATTCCCCTGATTTCTGGTCGGATGGATCTAGCATTTGTATTTTTTTCATATCTCTCTTGATTTGCGGTCCCCCTTCTGCAAGAAATCCTCGCGGTGTGGCTGTTTCAAAAGACTTTTACCCTTACTGAATGAGGAATACTCCACACGCTCAAATTGCACTCATGATGGCGTGTCTTGTAATTTATGGTCCGCACTCTTCCAGATAGCATCATGTTGGGACTGTTTCATAGCTTTTTGTCCTCATTGAGTGGGAATGCGGAAACATACAAAAATCCCTCCTGCATTCCCATCATGGGGTTCATCCCAGTTCAGACATAGCGACCTTTTGACCCTCAACAAGACCTCTCTTCTTCCCCTTCCTCTCACTGTATGAATCATCTTATTGGCGGCTCCGGAACCCGCGCCCTCGCTCGCCGATGTGAGCGCACATGCTAGCCGGTCGCGCAGGGGTCCGGAGCGAGCATTTGGCGGCTGAGCCTAACTCTTTGACCTGTTTTATCGCCCCCCCCCAACCCACTTTCCCCTCAGTATGTCCAAGGAGCCCTCTTCCAACCTGGAAAGTGCTATGCAGATGCTCATCAAAACCTTCCACAAGTACTCGGGCAAGGAGGGCGACAAGTACACGCTGAGCCGGGGCGAGCTCAAGGAACTGTTGCTGGAAGAGCTGGGAAGCTACTTGGGGGTAAGCATGAGTGTGCGTAAGGTATGCGCGGACGTGTACGAACAGGCAACGCACAATAAAGAAGGCCCGCATTCTCAACGTCGGTCCCACAGAACTCCAAGGACAACGAGGCAGTGGAGAAGATCATGACCGACCTGGACGCTAACAACGACGGAGAGGTGGACTTCACCGAGTTCATCATCCTGATGGGCGCCCTCACCGTAGCCTGCAACGACTTCTTCCTGGAGTTCAAGACGGACGACAAGCCCAAGGGCGGCGACTCGGCCGAGTAGGAAGAAAGAAGAGAGAAGGGATTGAAGGAAGGAAGGGGGATTTGGGGATGCGGGGTGGGGTGGGGTTATGCGGGGGTTGGGGAAGGGTTGTAAATCACAGGAGATGAGGGACATTTTTGTGGCGCCTTTACGCAATGTTTAAACAACACATGTACACCGCTGTGCCTTCATTCAAGAGCGCAGAGCAGGACACGTACGTTACTGTATATACAATTTGCCCAGAGTCTCCACTTGGCTGCACTTTGCCCTCATTCTCCACTCGAATGAAATGAGTCTCCTCTTAAAGAAGATGCTAATTCACCAGCTTTGCTACCATTCGTGCAAACAACGCTACCCGGCTAGATATAAAACATGTTAACATTAGCTTAGCCTGTTGCCACAGTCTCCATTTGACTGCACTTTGCACTCAAGTCTCTTCCATTGGCATTAATCCGGCATGCCTTTCGCCGTTTCCATCCATTCACCATCAGACGTATCACCCGCTAGAATGTTAGCTCAGTCCACCCTCTCAGCTCGATTGCACTTTGCCCACAGTCTCTTTTCAAGTTAAAAAATCCTTCGTATTCCTCCATTGTTGTTTGCTCATGGCGACGGATGCGTGCCGTGGTTCTCACAGTGTCTGTACCCTTGATGTTTTTTGTCACTTGCCTTGGAAGAGGTCTTCTGAGCTAATTCCCACTGAAGGCTAAATTAAAATGACACAGTACTTGAGACTAAAGTTTCAACGCAAAGGTCATTGAATGCAACACTCCTCAAAGCACAAAAATGCAGGGTTTTTGAATGTTTCTTGAGCGGAACAGACAAAAGGGGACGAGAATGTGGACATAATATTGAATCATGGCTGATTGTATTATTATGTTGAGCACTGGAATGTTTTTCCCTCTTTGCACTTTTTTTGTCATCTTTTTTTCTTTTTTTTAGTAATGACTCATGCATTCTTTCCAATTATTAAATGTGATATTTAACCGAATGGCAGTGACTCTTTCCTGTCCTACTTCAAGCGATAAAAGTGTGTTTCATTCATACTGTTTGTAGGTGAGTAGGTATGCGTGCGTGTGCATGTCACTCTTTGTGTGTGTGTGTGTGTGTGTGTGTGTGTGTGTGTGTGTGTGTGTGTATTGGGGATTCCCACTGAGCATTCCCACATCCTGCCAACAATATCCTGCAAGTCTTGTTGAGCCTAAGCTGACCCAGATGTCGGACTCTGAGCCACGTGGAAAACTTTTGACAAAGCGAGAGGATGTGGGGGAATGGAAAAGAAGAGGCGACGGGGGAAAAAAAGAAGCCTGATTGTGGTGTGTGTGTGTGTGTGTGTGTGTGTGTGTGTGTGTGTGTGTGTGTGTGTGTGTGTGTGTGTGTGTGTGTGTGTGTGTGTGTGTGTGTGTGTGTGTGTGTGTGTGTGTGTGTGAGTGTGAGTGAGTGACTGAATTCAATTTATGGCGTACAGCAGACAAGAATGTTTTTTGGAAGGCAGCGCTATAATCACACAGGAATGTCCAAGTTGTGACTTTGTATAAAAGGACTGTCCTTCACTGGGCCCCAAGTGTACACACAAACACACAGACACACAAACACACACTTAGGTAGAAAGAAAAGAGCACATGCGCGAGACCCTTCTGGAGCGGGTTTCAGCCAAAAGGACCTCGCAAAGAAAAATGGCCCAACAATATCAAGTGTCATTTCCAAAAAGATCCACATCAGCTTATAAAGACAAGAACCCACACATATATGCAAAACTGTCCTAGCGTTGTTCTTGCCCAAAAAACATGTCCTCACAATAAAAGGGTGGCTGTCAAGAGTTGTCCAACACATGCATAGACAAACCTAGTTTTGCTCACACACTCACACACACACACACACACACACACACACACACACACACACACACACACACACACACACACACACACACACGCACGACCAGCCAAAATTTCCCCAACAAAGCAAACCGTCCCAATAATCATAAAAAAAACAGGAATACACACATCAGCACTTGCAGAGAAATTCTAATTCTTTCTTGTCATCATCAAGTGGGCGGAGTCAACTGCTTTCCAGTTTCCTGTGATAGGCCCGTTTGAATGTGTGACATTTGACACAGTTGGCGTGCAAAGTGTTCTGTTAAGTCTGTTGTGGCCTAAAGGGAAATAAGTTGGCCTCGCACTGTCTTGTCATTTACCGGTTTGTCACATCAAAGGCGCCCAAATAAAGGCGATCTCATAAAGCAGCGTCTGCTCACATGCGGGTGTTGTGCTGTCAAAAAGGATTTATGAGCAATTAGCGTCGTACTGACACCCACAATATGCATCTCCACCCGCTTACATCAACAAATGTCTGAGTGGCAGGTTGAATGTAAAATGATGTGGTGAAAGCGCGTGCAAGTCAATGTTCACACCTCATAAGGGAGGAGCCGTACATACAATGGCTACATTAGCGTCTTTTACGAAAAGCCAACCTCATGCAATTCCACTATTTTTAAAACGGAATTATCTGGGACAAGCAAATGCTTTAGCAACCCGATCCTATGGAAAATGATCACAAGCACTTTTCACGACAAACTCATTTTAGACCCTTTTGCTTTCTCAGGTGGCTCTGTGTGAAAAGCATTCCATGGGTGGAGCAGCTTTCGCAGCCGCCTTGACCCATCCGGGCCACCGTCGAGCCTTCGGGTAATCAATGCGTCACGCCCTAGTGAAGAGGGACACCGTGAGTGCTCATTAAATGACCCATTCGAGGGTAGAGTGGAGCTGACGGCTCTCTTAACATATATGAAATGAAAAACAGACATATCGGATAACGGCTCGTGATTGACACCTGCTCTCCGGGATGCAATCGGAGAAGCTTTCCTCAGGCTCGTGAAATGCATCTCCATCTATTGGAAAGGAGACAGGACGGGCTCCCTCGGGTCCGGATACGTATTATTCATTACGACGCGAACAATTCATAAAGAGGGCAAGCAATAAAAGTGATAGTCATCTTGACTCATCTTGAAAAACACCGCAACAACAGATGGCTCGCTGTTACCCGGGGGCGAAGGGAAATCAATCGCCAAGTGAATGTGATACTCGTCATCTATTTGGGAAAAAGTATCAGGATGCCTGGCCTGCTTGCACATGTCCAGGATTTTTTTTTTTTTTTTTTACTTGCTCAGTGAACTGAACAGGAAGTCGGCCATTTTCATTTGAAGCAGCCATTTTGGAATGAATTCCAGGACTCCAAACTTTGACAAAGTCCTACTGGAGAATGCGCCAAATATGAGCCCGTCAACAGGTAGGCAGATGGTCGATACTAAATTGCCAAGCATCCGTTTCCGCTGCAAATTCCTCAAACCCACTCAGTAGCACGTCATCTAAAGCTGAAAAAAAAAGCCTCCAACACCAGTTTCACCAATCGTCATGAAATTGGGTAGACATGTCTATGATGAGACACACTGAAAAGTCTCCAGGACTCATGGGTGAACGTGAACAGGAAGTCAGACGTTTTGGTTCAAAGTATCGACCTTTAGCCAATTCCAACTGACCAACTTCTCAAAGGGAAACTCAGCCAAATGAGCCAAAATCAGAAGGCAGTATCCGAGACAAATAGGTCATAGTCAATTGCAGAGGGTTTTTTTTTTTTTTTTGTGGCTATGCGATCTAATGTGAGAGCGGCATGGCAAAATTTGACGATTAAAAAAAAAAGGGGGGGGAGTAAGGGGTTATGCGTCAGTGCTTGTGAGTCATCCAACTTGGCTGCCAAGCCTCACCAACATGCAACTTGAAAACAAAAGTTGTTGGTTTTTTTTTTTTTCACAATTTACTACCACACAGCTGCCGAGAACACATGGTTAAAATGTTGTTGCAATTTAACAAAAATCTTGGCTTTGAAGAACCCTTGACCCCAAAAAAACAAAATACTTGCATCAAACCAAAAGGACGCACTTCCTTTTTTGTGCCTCTGCTTATCGATATTGCTATTAAATTTCACAAAGTAAAATGGCCTTTGGGGGTTGTTGTTGTTTTGTTTTGCTTTTTAAGCGATCCAGTTTTTGTACCAAGTACGTTTTTGGAGCCTGAGAGTGTAATCTGAACGTCTGTAGCCTCATTCAGTCAACTGTGCATCTTTTGCAAGGAGGCCGTTTCTCTGGGGGAGGGCGACATGTTTTGACGCTTTGATCGTCCCCTCGAAGAGCAGACAGCAATGACACCCGTCGCCTGTGTTTTGCTCTTCCTATTACTGCTGCATTTGGGACCAGTGTGAGAGACGCAGCTTTTTCAATGACTTTTGCGTCATCTCAACAAATCACAAGAAATGCATCCAAGCTGGGGTGTGTCTGGCTCCAGCAACATCTGCGATCCATCCGTCAGGGCTCTGCCAAAAACGACAATCCGGCTTCCTTTCGAGGATAGCGGGCGGCCAGCGTGATGCAAAAATGATTTATGTGATTTTTTTTTTTTTGGTCCGCCTCATGACAAAGCTTGCTGAGGTTTATTTGAAGTTCTATTTGAAGTGATTCTCAGGCCAAAACAATGGCACGATTACAAATGGATGTCATAACACACAGGAATGTTTTGTTTCGTTTTTTTTAGGTGGAGTTGTAAAATGTGTTCTGTTCAACAGTGTTAAACATCAGAAATAAATAACAAGCAAAAAGAGCTTGACCTCATTTTTTAATCGCTTGTTCATTTTCCAGAAGTTATCCACACTTTTTCAGTACATCACCATCAAAATGTAGGTCCATGGTGGTACAAAACCTTCAGGCTTCAGCTGGAACACAAACAAAAATGTCAGGAAAAACCTACTCGAAGGGCTGCAATTTATTTGGGGTTTTATCAGCCGCCCTTTAGTTGGCGGCAGGTGGCTGCTGTGTTTGTTCGGTGTGTTTAGGAGATGACACATATCCATTTGGCCCCCGTCATCGACCTGCGTCATGCTTTTATATTTCTTGGTGCGCCAAGGCATCGTCAAATCACTGCCCTGTGTTATCTTATCTCAGAGTGCGATGACAAGCGTTTTATTCATGGCTTTCTCCTGCAGGAACAACACAGACGGTTCTTTGTGTCTGCGAAAAGTGGTGAAGTAATTAAACATGGGCACCAGAGGAAAGCAGAGAGTCAGTTTAATTTGCCACGCAAAACTCTGTCTCTATCTACATGTTTTTTCAGGGGGGTTTTTCTTTAATTTTGAAATATATTTTCCGAGATATATTTAAAAATCATACTGTATATACAGTATATTATCATTGATTCCCACGCAACGATTCCAGTGTAAAAATTCCTCCGTTTATTTATTTATTTTTTTCCATAAAAGCCCTGAGGTGACGTCATATAACCTGAGTGAGTGCGATGCGGGCGTGAGCTGAAGACTACGAGGCACGGGGTGCATCAGGGTCATGTGCAGGGCGCCAGTGAAAGGCAGCCCACGGGTGCGGTCGTGGTGCACCACCTCGGGGATGCTGGGGAACACGCAGCTGTTCTGCTCGAGAGTGAAGCCGTTCTCTTTGGCTTGCGCCACCATGATATGGACCCAGTCGTGACTTGTTCTGAAATCCAAACGTACAACAGACGGCATTCTTATTTTCAGTTTGGGGCTTTTTTTTTTAATGTCGCTCATACTTTTGTGAGTCATTCGGTTTTATTTGAGCTGTTTCTTTGTCATTTTTGTACTGTTGTGTTGATCATTTGTTACGTATTCTGGTTACTATGTTTTTTTTTAATCTGGATCTTTTTTTTGCTTTGAGACATAATTAATATGTGGAATCTAGTGTTCTTTAGCAAAATACAGGAGCAAAAGAGGTTGAAAATAAAATTATCAAAAAAGTAAAAATGTTATGTTCAATTACAACCAGACACTCAGATCATCAAACGACGCTGAATTAAAGAGAAAACTGGAAACCATAAAAAAAACATATTTAATATGAAATTACTGAAACAAATATAAAGTTGGTGCATACAACTTGTATGCGAGCCCATTTACAGTAATTACCGTCATACCAGATTATTGCTAATCCCAGTTGATGTTTACTAAATTTAAAAACAAAGAGGTGGCATATTCAACAAAACCGCATAACTTTACCTTGAAGTCCCCTATCTTAATGAAGATCGATAATATACTCACATACATTTATTCTTTATCCTCTGCAAAGAACGCCAAGGATTGCTGCGTTTTCCAGAAGAGCTGAGGGCGACTCAACGTACTGTGCTGCATGTCTGGAAATCTGTATTGTACTGCCCCCAGGTGGCCAAGGCGCATACACCAGAAGGAGGTGCACAATTTCCATTGAACTGAACCAATAACTTTTCAGTTTCTTGACATTCTTTCAAATTATGTTATTACTGTATGTTTTAATAAAGCACAATATCATAGAGTGCTTTTTTATTAAAAGCAATCAGTCTTTTACTTTGTATGCTTAATGATTACGTTAAAGTACTTAATTGGCCCTATAATTAGAATGCCGCTTGGCTTTAATTAAAACGCTGCACAGTGGGAAAGTGGTCTATTCCAAAATGGATGTCTCGCACCAGTGGGTAAATGTGACACATTCTATCACATACAACGAACAATACACAGCTCTACTGAGATTTTTCTTTGAAGTAAAAATTATTATTACAATAATAATATAATAATAAAATGTAATATGAATCTTATAACTACTTTCCTTTTTTAAATTTATGATTGCCAAATGAAACACCCCCATTTTAAACCAACTTGTAACCTTCCAGTGTTCTGGCTACTCCTGCTCGTCCCTCTTTGTCCGGTGGCTAGAAAGAAGGCCACGACACATTATCGTAGCGTTTGCGTTTTCTTCACCAATTCGAGTTAAATGTTGGACCAGCGAGCATACGCCGTGCGAGCGAGGACCGGTTTCCCGGCCGTGACCCGCCGGGGACTTTGAATTTTAAACGGGACGAGCGGCGTGAGCAACGGAGAAAGGGTACAGGTTTTTTTTTTTTGCTTCCCCAAGATGGCTAGCTGTTAGCTCGTGAGCTAACGCTAGCGCAATAAAACAGCACTTGCCCAGCAAAAATCATGAAACGGTTGCTTGTTCTGTCTTTTTTATTATGATTTTTTTGGTGATGTGATAAGCTGCTTCCTAGCAAAAATCACAAATACGGGTGTTGAATGGGGAATTTGTGACCTAGAATCGCGGCTACGAGCGAGCCACTTTGGGTTAACGTGGCTAGGTAGCCACCTAGCACATCTGTATGTGATCATTTTTACAGAGGGGACGGTGGGACTCTTAAACAGGAATTCGAAGAGCACAAAAGACTAGCATAGCAGCCAGCGCACTTCCGCTTTTTATTTTATTTATTCGTTTTCTTTTAATTACATGGCGTTGATTTGGAGACCAAATCCCGGCGTGACAGACCTGGGCCAGTCACCCAACTAGAAGCCGTGTGTAGTTGTGACATGTCCCCGAGGTGGTAGACGTCGTTCTCGCCGTCACCGTGGTCATTTTTAACCCCTTTTTCTCTTGCATATGAACGGTGACGCGCCACCTCACCGGCAGTAGTGTTAGCTAAATGGCTGCCGAATCGGGGAGACTACTGGCGGGACAAGGAAAACGAGGCAAAGGTAGGAAATTGACTTTCACCCCCCTCATCACCCCCTAAACCCCCCTTGCCCCAAAAGAACAAAATTCGACTGGATTCATCCATTTGGCTGCACTGGTCCTGTGTTGGCCCCCTATTTATGTACCTGGTGGTGGCTGTTTCCCAAAGAGGTTTTGAGACTTCTTGCTATGAATGGGCAGTGAACCCCCACCTATTTGCGCTTCACCAATCACAAACTCGTTAATTCACAATATTTACATGTATATTCTTTTGTGGAAACTTAAATTAACAATTAGGGATGACCTCTGTTAATCACAGGGTTCCAAAACCATCCACGATTGGCGAAAATCTGCACATTTGAAAGATTTGCTGCTGTCAGGCGAAATCCTCACAACTCCTAAACAATCACTTTTCAGGAAACTAAAAACATGTTTGTTGACTTATTTACATTGCACCATCAAGAGCGCTTTCAGAACGTTGGATTGGTCATTAATTTATGAAAATAACAGACACGTGGGGACTGACCAATCAAATTGATTTGTGTAAAATTATGAAATTCACCAAATTTTGCCACAGAAGATTTCTGCTCCGTGTCAGCAACTTTTTAAAAAAAAAAAACCCTCCCAAGCTCTTAAAACGGATTTAAATGCACTTTAAAAATATCCCTTTACATCAGTTGTCACTCACTCCTTGTTGAGAAATGGGAAATACCTCACAGCATCAATAAGAGTCAATGAAAAGAAGACTCGCTCGCAGTTTTCCAAATAAAAAGGGTTCTTTACTCTCAATGTTTATTGTAAAGTTGACACATGAAACAAATGAATTAAACTTTGAATGTGTAGGTATCCCAAAAGTGATGTCACACTTACTTTTTTGTCTTTCATTTCAGGTTTCATTTGGACAAGCCTGAGGCAATCGGCATTTGATAATTTCTGTGATTCACCATTTGTCGATGGAGCAGCATTGCAAAATTGCAGCCCGACTAACAGTTTCTGTCCCTGTTTGAGAAGCTTTATGGCCATCACACTGCAAGTAGTACAATTTACATTTTCCATGGCAAGTTTCTCAAAACAAGATTAGTAGAACAGATCCTGAACGGATGCCACTGCCACCCCCGGATGATGACGCAGTACTCCCAGAGCAGGCGTTTGTGCAAAGCCAAGGAAAGTTTATCCGAATTGCTGTATTGGACCTCGGTATCAACAAAAGCTCAATTCAAGGGATGCTTCGGAGTGCAGTCGGAGACAGAAATACTTCTTGTCAGGTGTCAATTTTGCAATGCTGTTCTAGTGCCCATGAGTCAGCTGTGGGCAAGGAAATCATTTGGTTCCAAAAACCGCCAAGTTTGAATTGTCAAACGCTGATGGCTTCGCGTCTGTCCTTTGACAAAATAGGGGAAATAAAGAAGCGAAAAATGAATGCAATATAGCAGTTCTCTGTATTTGCTGAAAAACTCATCAAATGGGAAAAAGGTGTAGTTGTTGGTTAGATCCCACAGGGAAAAAAAATTGTGGTTATGTGAGTTTGCGAATAGGGAGGGGTTCACTGTCCCTCAGTATGCTCATGTTTTTACCTGTCCTCCTCCCCTCATCTTCTGCCTTGTTCGCAGCCTTTCTTCCCCCCCATGCTCTTTTCCTTGCGATTCTGAGAGTGACTGCCTGGATATACAGCATTTTGTCTATGTCGCCTCATTGACTTCATCTCGTCTGTCAATCGTGGGACAGGCAAAACAATAAATGCCCTAGGTCTTCAAAAAAAAAAAAAGAAGAAGCTGATCCACTCTGTCACTAAGGGGTATTGGCCAATCCAAATGTGGCGCTCCTCTCGATTGGTGATCCACCAATTTCATAACATTTTCCCCCTCTTTCTACCTCTATGCTTATTTTTCTTTCTCTCTCAGCCTCACAAATGAAGAGCCCAGAGAAGAAGAAGGCGAGAAAGTCCACTTCACAGGTTAGCTTTGTTTGATAACCACATTCACATAAATATAGACGTCACATGACTTCTGGGAAAATGTAAAAATGTTTGAGTTCTTTGTATATGACGTAATTCCAAGAGACTTCTGGATGAGATGTTTTACTTCTTTGGCTTTTTTGTACAATTAAATGTCAATTACATACACAAATTAATTTTACCAGACAGCTGTGGGAAAGGAGCAAGTCTGGTGCCGTTTTGTACTAAACAGCCAGAACGGTCTCCTGTACCGACCGGTATTCTACTTGCCTCAAAGTTACGGCTCTGTGGTCGTCTCCTGTTGGTTGCCATATGCCATTTCTTCCCCCAAATGTCTGTTTCCCAACAATATGATTTCAAATGTGGATGTTGGTACCGGAATATCAGCCGTCGACTCGCCGATTAGGTACCAAAAGGGGCAAACATGAAGGCTATGTTTTAATACTACATTTCTCTCTCGTTATATTTAGGCGTCGGGGTTCTCGCACCTCACAGAGTTTGCGCCCCCTCCCACGCCCATGGTGGACCACCTGGTGGCCTCGAACCCCTTTGACGATGACTTTGGACCACCATCGCGGCCCGGTGGAGGTGGTGGGCCTGGCGGTGCACCGTTCCTTCCCAGTCCAGGTGCAGGCGGAGGAAGCGGCTATGGCGGTACAGGCCGAATGGGTGGCGGCGGCATGGGTTTCATGGGGGGGCCGGGTGGCGGACAGCCTGGACCGGGACGCAGACCGCCATTTGGACCGCCGTCCAACGCTGGACCACCTCACCACCAGCTGGGCTTTGGGGGTATGCCTGGTTTCGGAGGAGGGGGAGGGAGCGGCGGCGGGGGAGGAAGTGGAGGTAGCGGGTTCCCTCCCGGCGGTCCCTCTCAGTTCAATATACCACCAAACTTTAGTCCCCCAATGCACCCCGGGTCAGGCTTTAACCCCATGTTGTCTCCAGGTGGCATGGGAGGTCCTGGAGGAGGGGGTCCACCCCACCCTCGATTTGGCATGCCACCACAACAGCAACATGGACAGGGCGGGCACCCGTTCAACAGTCCGCCGTTACCTGGTGGAGGAGGAGGCGGCCCCAGGGGCCCCCTGCATGGGCCCATGCCTCCCATGGGTGGCATGGGGCCCGGTCAAGGGATGAACATGATGAGTGGGATGGGTGGTGGTCCTGGAGGCATGTTGGGGGGATTACCAGGTATGGCCCCTCAAGGACAATTCCCCCCTTCGCAGGATGGCTCCTATCACGGTCCCAGCCCACCAGGACCCGGCAATGAGGATGGAAAAAACTTTGGCGGAGGAGGACCTCCCCCTGGGCCTCAGCAGCAACAGCAGCAGCTTAACTTGAACCCTAACGGGCCCCCTCCTCCTAATAACGCCACCCCCGGTCCTCCTCCTAACTCTGGTCCACAACAGCCGGGAGGAGACTTCCCGGGCCACCCTGACATCCAGCAGCCCAATGCCGGCGCACCCGGCCCGCCGCCCTCAGTTCAGCCCCAACCCAACCCCAACTCCTCACCCAGCGGCCCCCTGAACGGGTCGGGTCAGCCCCAGCACCCGCCTTCCAACAATGCCAACACCCCCAACTCCAACAACTCCTCCCAGCAGCAGCAACAGTCCACTCCGCCCAACTCTGCCCCGGGCTCCGTTTCACACAACCAACAGAACAATACTCCCGGTAGCGCCGTTCCCATGCCCAACACAGCCCCCAGTTCAGGTCAGAACAACATGACCAACAACAACGGTGGCAACACCCCCGGCAGCAACCCCAACCCGCCCTCTAACTCCACCTCGACCCCCAACACACAGTCTCCCTTGCCCCCGGGCCCTTCCGCCCCCTCAGCCGGGCCCGGCTCGGGCCCGGGGAAGCTGGGCGGACCCGGCATGGTGTTCCCCTGTGGCCTGTGCATGTCGGAGGTACACGATGACCAGGACGCCATCCTGTGCGAGGCTTCGTGCCAGCGCTGGTTCCACCGTGACTGCACAGGCCTGACGGAGCCTGCCTACGGGCTTCTGACCAGGGAGAGCGCTGCTGTGTGGGCCTGCGACTTCTGCATCAAGACCAAGGACATCCAAGCTGTGTTTGTGCGCCAGGGACTGGGCCAGTTGGTTGCCGCCAACGAGAGCTGAGGGGGCCAGGGGACATTTGACGAGCCCTTTACTCGTACACTACGTAACCATCGCTTGACATCCATCGTTATATCTAAAAATAGCACTTTGAGTGAAATAAATGCCCCTTACCGCAACCATAGGAGAAAAAAGAAAAGATGAATGTTAACTGACACACTTTTTCGGACAACCAGCACTGACACCAACACACTACCTCACACACACTGACTGGCACACAAGCTCCCGCACTGATTGAAAATCACCACACAGTACAAACTGATGCAAAGTTCAGTTTGAATTGCCCCTGTATCCCCCCCCACATATATTTATTAATGTCACACAAAGAGTGCCTGATCTTTTCATAAGTATTTCTAATCATTTTCTGGTCATCGGGACATGAAACAATCACTGTAACATAATCATGTTGAATCCAAAGCAGAAGCAAGCGGGGCTTACATGTTGTGTTCTCTCATACCTCATCGAGCAGAACTCATTGTAAATATCAGCGTTATATCAGAGCCGACTGATGAGTAAAACCCAAGTTTTAAAAGAAATATATATATATATATATATATATATATGAAATTCGAGAGAGAGAGAGAGAGAGAGAGAGAGAGAGGGA